GAAATGACCAACTATTTTTGCAAGTTCTTCTGTCGCTGACCCTTGGCGAAGGGAGGGGCAGAAAATCGTTTGTTTCTGAAAGAGCTCTGTATGCAGGGAAGGAAAGGGCAGTCATGTGGTGTGCTCGCATGATCATCATCAGATCTGGGCTTATGCTTGTAAACCTTTCTTTGAACATCTTCTTTCACCTCTCGGTTGTTTAATTTCCCCTGCTATAAAACATACCTTTCTGTTGACAGGAATGTTGTGAAGCTGTTTGTAAAGAAGTTTAAGTTTCTCAGGCCTGGCTTACATGTAAATGTTTTCTGCTATGGCTTGTGTTTAATGCTGTGGCCTGCTGCCTATAGGGTGAAGAACGATGAGAAACTCAGGAGGTATTTCTGAAACTAAGTTATATGAGCATGACAAAAGGGAAAGCCTGACACCGCAGTTTGCCTTGTAGCTGTAGGAGAGCCCAGGGCTGGCGGCGTCTAGGAGCACCTGCAAGTGATGGCCACAGTGTTGTCTGACTTCCGCTTTCAAAACAGTTGCATGGAGTAGTTTCCTCATTCACATTGATCTTCAGGCCTGTCTTGCTAGAGTGGCAGGGCATTTTGCAGTCCTCTTTGTTTTGTGTTTTATAAAGATCAGCACAATCTTCATGTTTCAGGTAAATCCATTGTAACAGAAGCATAGGTGCAAGAAGGACTTTAGGGTACACAGAGACATTAAGATCCGTTGTGTTTAACTTTCTTTCCAGCAGCTTTGCTGGCATATGTGCTGTACCCTAAGAAAAGCAATGCCTGAGTTATATTCTGTTTCTTCTTGCTTTAATTCTCCATGGGAGTAATTTTTTAGCTGAAGGTAAAACAAACCTCAGAGCCCTAGCAGGTTCCATGAAGCCGTGCCTGTGGGTATTGCCGGCATTCAGAGTTTCAGCTTGGCAATGTGTTGGAGAAAAATAACGTCAATAGCTTAAAATAATAGATTTTGAGTCTCTTTATTCTGTCATGCTGAAACGGGATTTTTAGAAGTGAGCAGTTAGTTTTGTCAAATAGGAAATGCCCTGAAGCATTGCTATATCATGATGCGGATCAGACAGCTCAAGAGGAAAGGCAGGAGTTTTTTTAAGGGCATGTGATTTAAGGGAGAGTAAGGAAAAAAATAATTTATTATGCCTTTGAAAATGTCTTTTCCCCCTACAGTGAGATTGTGGCCAAAACATTTCTCTGAGATGTATGTTAAGGCTGTCTATTTTCAGGCATGACCTTTTTGGATAACAAGCATATTTGCTTTGAAAATGCTAGACCTAAAGACAACTGTAATTTGATTTTGGATCAATATTTTGTGGGAGTCTTGGAGGACAGGCAGAGTCAAGACTGTTCTGAAATGATTTAGACTTGGGTATAAGGAGGATTTTTCACCTCTACCATTTCTTTTGTGTTAATGGTTTCAGTAGCTCAATAGTCAGTGTGTTTTTAGTGGCCTGAAATGCAAAAACAGCATTTTCTGCATTCTGCACTAACTTCTAAACTGAGCAGAAAAGCGAGTCACACACAACTGCAAAGCTGATATGCAAAGTCTACATTTTTAGCCAAAAAAAAAATTTTTTGACATTTAATCCAAGAAAGTTTCAAGTGCCAAAATATAGAAGGTTCCTTATGTTCTTCCTAAGAACTGAAAGCTATCATCAAAAAGTAATAAGTTTATGCACATCTTGGAACAGTGAAATAAATTCAGTCATTAAAAACATATGTACCTAATTTTTTTACAAATATATTAGTTTCTGAATTCTAAAGAACATTTAGTTGCATAGAATATTTGAATGAGCAATAAAAAGCCAATTTTACCTAGAAGAACATACAGAAATAATGTTTAGAATTAAAATGAAAAGAAGGGAAAATAGTTTAATAACTCCTTAAATATTGGCATTAAAAATAAAATTCTTAGGGAAATTCTCCTCAATCTTTGAAAGAAAACTGTTTACTTTTCAGTCTGAGACAATTTTTGCAGCCATAGGGAAATGGAAGTTTGTAGTAGGATTCATAGGGAGTCTCATTGCTATTTTAATGAAAGAAAAAATATCAGCTCCTGATAATAATAGGAAAATTATGTTAACAGCTCCGTTTTATAAAAGCAACCTAATATTAAATAATGGTTAGGTAATGTTGAGTGGTCTGTTTAGGATTCAGAAAAATTAACATCTTCCTTCCCTAAGTGCAAGCACAATTATCTACCCACTGATTGTAAGAACATCTGACTATGTATGTGTTCATTCTTCTATAGCAATTATGGACAACCTTGGGACAAAAATACTAAAGACTAAGGGAAAAGAGGGCTTATCATAGATTAAAATGCCTTCCCTTCTTTTCATTAAATGACTTTGTATTCTATTTGTGTAAAATACTCTGCCTAGTTTTAGCCTACCTGTGTTGGTTATTGGTAGATGCAAAGGCATGGCAACGCAGAATCTGCTCAGGCCCCAACTGCCTGAAAATGTAATAAAGCCTTTAGCAGTTAGTTCAGCCTGAATGCTGTACTTCTACCATTGTGTCACTATGAACATCCAAACTGGGTGGTGTAAAACTGCCTTCACTGTATATCTACATGAGCTGCAGTGACTTCAGTGTAGATGTTTCTGTAATCACTGATTCTTGAGCAGATCTCATATTGTTTTCTTTTTCCTAATACTTTCTGATGGCTAGATAGCTTTTGAGCCATTTTCAAAACATTTAGCTGTGGCAGTGCCTCTCAAACAGCTGGTGGAAATACAAACTACAGTGGTATTTTTACTGTCTTTTTTACATTTTTTCTACTCCATCTTATTCTGGGATGCTAAATGTCTGCAAAGTGGATGCACCACCATCCACCAGGGGGCTACCCAGCTGGAAAGCAGCTTGGCAGAAAGGGATCTGGGGATCCTGGTGGACACCAAGCTGAATGTGAGCCAGCAATGTGCCCTGGCAGCAAAGCAGGCCAATGGTATCCTGAGCTGCATTAGACAAAATATCGCCAGCAGGTCAAGGGAGGTGATCCTTCTCCTCTACTCAACACCTGGAATGCTATGTCCAGTTCTGGGCTCCTTGGTACTAGAGAGACACGGACATACTGGAGAGAGTCCAACAAAGGGCCACAAGGATGATTAACTCGGTTGGAGCACCTCTGCTATGAGGAAAGGTTGAGAGAGCTGGGACTGTTCAGCCTAGAGAGGAGGAGGCTCAAGGATCCCATCAATGTATAAAAGTACCTGAAGGGAGGGTGCAAAGAAGACAGATCCAGGCACTTTTCAGTGGTGCCCAGTGACAGGACCAGAGGCAATGGGCACCAACTGAAACATGTAAGGTTCCCTCTGAACATCAGGAAAATCTTCTTCACTGTGAGGGTCACCAAGCACTGGCACAGGTTTCCCAGAGAAGTTGTGGAGTTTCCATCCTTGGAGGTATTTAAAAGCTGTCTGGACATAGTCCTGGGCGAGTGGCTGTAGGTGGCTCTGCTTGAGTGGAGGGCTTGGACCAGATGACCTCCAGAGGTGCCTTCCAAACTCAGCCATTCTTTGATTCTGTGATCTGCCATTTTATTGTCTTTTTACCCTACTGCAGAAGCTATACCTGCTCCATCTCTCTTAGCAAGAGAGTAAAGGTTCTTCTTCCTGGCAGTGTTCTTCCAGTGTTGCATGGAGACACCTGAGATGGCTCAGAAAGAGCACAGCATACTTTTGGCAGTCTGTGCTCAGGCAGGACATCCATGCTTAGCTGGGCTTACCAGTTCTTGTTTTCTCTATATCCAAAGGAGTTCGGCTGAGCATTTGTCTCCGCGTCTCCTCCCTAGTGCTGTGTATCTCAGGAAGTTTCTTAGTTTGGATACAGTCCTGTGGCAGCCTAATTCCTGAAGGTCCTAATAAGTCTTCCCACACTGGAGATGCTCAAGAGAAGACCTTTTGGTGATCTTTAGGAGCCAGGTGCAGCATGGTCTTAGCTAATCAACCCCATCAAGTTCAGTCTGATTTCTGCTGTTGATTGAGATGGCTCTTCTCAGTGCTTCAGTCCTTGGAGTACTTTGTAGCTTGGGATGGAATGTGACTCGGCTGTAGCAAAGCTAAAGAGCTGTGGTCATTGTGCAGTACGGGCCAGTGGACAACAGGCACCTTCTGGTTATGTGGGAGTCAGCATAGCCCTGGCAGGGCCAACACGGGCTTTGTGGAAGAGGTACTTAGTATTTCCTCACTGAGTCCCTGGTCTGTATTATCCATGTTTTTTCCATTACTGAGCATCTCACAGCCTCCCGTTCCCTGAAAATAGAGAGTTAGCTATATCAGAATGTTGTCCTTTTGTTTTGAGTGAATACAAGTGTCCATATGTTGCAATTCAGCATCTAAAATTACTCATGTTTCTCCCTGAGTGGTAACGATGACTATTAACAGTGCTGTGAAACTGAAAGGATCCAAAATTTCTCTTGTTTTTGTGTGAGACCTCAGTTTTACACCTGCTAGGAGTTTCACCTCGGGCTTTATACTATATAATGCCAGCAAATTGAACTGTGAATATAAAATTCCTACTGCTAAAATGGAAGTATTTTTTTTTGGGGGGTGGGGGGTTGTTGGGTGTGAGGCTAAAATGACAGTTTAAGCAAAACTGGCTGCTATAAAAGGATAAAGTTCTTCCTTGACTGCTAAAAAAAAAAAAAAAAGTACCTTGTGATTTACCAACACCTTCCACTGTAGAGCAGACTTGGTGTGTTTGGGGTTTTCCATTTGCCTTCTTAAGGTAAACTTCTGTTTTTTCTAACTGAAGAACAGTAAAAGGCTTCTCAGCAAGGTGCTGGGGCAAACATATCACTGTTTTATGCTCTACTCCAATACTGTGTTGAAAAGGAAAATGTTGTATGTGCTTTATGATTAAGGAGTTTGAGCTGATATTTCTCTTCTTGTTCTGAGCTTGGTCTGTGTTCCACATAGATTTTGAAGCCAAGATCATTACTGTGCACTTAAGAAAATGTAACTTGTTATTATATTTTGCTTGTAGGTGTTTTATATCTTCAGTATGGAGACGAGACAAAGCAGCTGAGGATGCCAAATGAAATCACAAGCACAGACACAATTCGTGCCCTATTTGTAAGTGCCTTCCCCCAGCAGCTGACGATGAAAATGCTGGAATCACCCAGTGTGGCCATTTACATCAAGGATGAGAGCAGGAACATATACTATGAATTGTGTGATGTGAGGTAAGTAAACATAGAATTACAGCTGTTGGGTTTGGGGTTTGTTGGTTTTTGGTTTTGTTTTTTTTTTTTTTAGTGCACTTAGAGAATAAAAAGGAGTGGAGCTGATACGTATCTGACAGATAGTGGCCTGACACATGAAGGCATGTTCAGTGGTATCTGAGTAGTATGGGAGGTTTGATCTGACACTGCCTTGAGCTGTAGGTACAATATCTATTGCACAAGACATTGATAAATATTCATATAGTACATACAGGTTCACATATTTAATATTTTATTAAATTTTAACTGAGACATAAATATTTAAAATACAGAACTCAAAATAAGCATTTACAGGTTTTTTCTTTGCTGGCAGAGCAAAGCTTGATCCTTGTGAGCCTGAAGTTACAAATATCAGTGTCACCATTGTCCTCACAACAGTGTCAATTATTCATCATCTAATACTGCCAAAGATCTTTGGCACTGGTGACTGCTGCTGCAGGAGCCCCAACACCTTCCTATTTTATGTCAGGATGAAGCAGTTGATGCAGTCACTTCCCTTCACTAATTCAGAGCTTTGTCAATAAATTATCTGAATAACATCTGGGTCCATCATATTTCTATCCTGTATTTTGTGGGAGTGCAGCTACTCAATTAGTCATGTTCCTTCAGTCCTTATGTCTCTGCTCTTCAATCAGAAGGACCAGGTTCTCAGGGTCCTTAGAAAGCCCCAAATCATGTAGCAACAAAGCTCTCAAGCACACATCAGAGATGTTACACACTGTAAAACTGTGCAAGGAAATATGGTGGGCCTTTGTGCCATCCTTTTAATAAGCAGTTACATGATAAAAAGAAAGGACAGAAGAGCATAAGAAGATGAAGGAGAAAGCAGAAAAGGTGTTTCCTCTCTGCCAGTCTGCCACCAGTGCAGGAAAAAGATGTGAAAAGAAGTGTTCTGTCCACTGCTGCCTTTTTCTTCTGGAGATCCTGTGGCTCAGGTGCTTCTCCATATAATTTTGTAGTTAAAAGAGCAAGTTGGAGCTTTTCTAGCCTTGCCACTTCCAGTTCCCCCATTCCTCTTCTTCTTTGAACAGCACCGTGCTCCATTTTCTCACCTCTGTCTTGCTCTCCTCAGGCTGTCTATCCAGTGGCTTGTCATTAGCCAGCCTCTTGGATTTCGGTTACTGGTTTTTTTATCTTCCTTGCTTTACAGACTCCCACACCCCTCCTCGGCCACTGTAATGCCTGAGTTAAGACCCATCTGCTTTTTTGCATCATCATTCATCATGTGCTCAAGTTTCTTGTACATCAAACAGTCTATTCATGAGATTGGATTGACTGATAAAATTAAGACTTGGGTTACTACGTCTCTGTTGCCAACCACATTATTGCCAACCATCATCTGTCCCATCGGCTCCTTCTCTCTCACTTTATCCCTCCATCTTCCCTTGAGTTTCAGAGTAACAGTTTATGACTTCATCTCCTCCCTGCCCCCGAGAATGTGGTTGTTGATTATCTTAATACCACTCCACCTTTTTTTCCCTTGCTCCTATTGCAGGCGTCTGCCAACCTCAGGCCTGGCTCAATCTCAGCATCTGCTTCCTCTGTTCCTATGCCTGTATTGTAGAGCATTTCTAGAGGAAATCCCGTGACCCAGCTGACTTCCCTTCCTCCATAACAAAATTCCCTCCTTCAGTTCTGCCACCCTTCTCACTAAAGAAACCTCACCAATTCCAGCTTAATGGAGTCCAATGCATGCACTACCAGCTGCATTTTCACCACTTTTTAATAATTTCCACAACAATTTCTCCCCTTCTGTTCCTTACTATTCACAAGATCTTGCCAGTGTCTCTCCTCGGAGAACAGATGAAATGAAAGTTAATTTTTCTTTCGTTTGCTTGCCATGTCTTCCTTCAATTCTCTGCTTCCTTGTCTTTAACACATATGTTTCGGTCAACTCTTTAAGTTCGCCACCTCCCTTGGAGGCTGTCCCATGTTCCTCTGTGCCTCACGTCCCTTGCTTTGTCTTTATTAACTTATTGAAGTGCCTACTCTTACATTGCTAATATGTTTCTCTGCCTCTTAGCAAAACTGCCCCTGACCACAACATACATTTCCACTTCCCACCCCATCACCTTTCTCACTTGCACTGAGAAGTCACTATAACCGTTGGCTGGAGTTTTAATCTTCTAATTCTGTCTTATAACCATTTCTAAGCTGTCTGGGGTTTTGTTCTTCTAATTCCAGCTTGTCTTTTGTTCCCTACTGTTCCATTGCAGTTGTGGAAGTCAGCAAATGGCCAGCTTTTATGAACATCTTTTTTCTCTCAGATCTCTCATGTACTTGTAATGTTCTCTTCCTGAAACTTTGATCTCCCTTTGTTTCAGTGGCTGTTCTTTCCTGATTTCTTCCTGTCTCTTTCCTCTCCTTTCATGTATCGTTTGAGAGGTCCTCTTCTCAAACATTGATTTTCTGTTGTGTTTTTTTCAGGGCTTTGTCCCCCTTTCTTTTCCTTGTCTGTACCTGTGTCTATCTTATTTGCTGTGGATTAGTTGAATAATCATACCTACCTGGGTGACCCTCCCATTTATTTTTCTGTCTCTCCTTTAGTATGGGATTAATCTGACCAAGTGGAGATTTGTACATCCATGTTTTGAGCTGGTTGTGATTCATCCTATAAAATTATCTCATAAATTATACATGCCAGAGAAGCTAGCTTGTGATATCTTCCCTGTGAATGTCTGTAGTTGGATGACATGAATCCTTCCTCTTCCATCCAAACTAATATCTTGATCTTCTCTTTTAGTATAGTCTCATGGACCATTAGTTTCAGCCTAGCTTATGTTCTTATGTTCCCCTTCATTAGGCCATAACACTCCTTCCCCTTTTCTTTCTTTCTTTTTTTTTTTTAATCACCGAGGACAAAGCACTAGCTTTCTACTTAAGCCCATAACCTGATCCTTTTCTTAAAGTGGTTCAGGGCTCTGCATCCAGTGTAGATTTGAGATTTTTTCTGCATAGCGTCCCTATGATACAGCCTTCCCTTTCCCACCATGTAGTGAAAAAAACACTCAGATAATTCAACAGCTTTTTAATAGCAACTGCTGTAATGGTCTTTGGTCAGCAGTTGACACAGGTGATCTTGTTCACTCTTACCCATTCAAATGAAGCAACAAAGATCGTTCTAGTTTGACAAACAGACTGTTTCGCATGCATTTTTTTCATTTGTCCTCTGGCTGTATCTTTTCCATCTCATTAAACATAAACTACTTGTCTTCATTATGAGGGCCCCTCCAAGCTCACTTCAATGCTACTTTTCATTTCTTGTTCAGTACCAAGTGCCATCTGCTTCCACTTTGTTAATAATGCCAGCTTTCATTCTGCATGTCTTTAATTTTCAAACAAGTGTCTTCACGCTCTCTCAGGTAGCCTTGTAACGCGCTTGGAAGGTGTCCTCCGCAGACATCTGCAAAGCCACTGCATTGGTTTCCTTCCCGCTCTCTCTGTTGCACTGCCTACTCAGAGCATGTCCGTGGTCCCAGGTTCTATTTATTGCTCCTCTGGCTAGAGAGACTATGGTCTTCTCGTTTCTTTTTGTTCCTTTATCTTTCTGCAGCTATCTTCTTGTCTTTTGTCTCTATTCACCTTGTAAGTTGGTGAAGAGGTTGAATTCTCGGGGTGTTTATACAGCACACACAGAGCAATGAGGCCTTTGAACGTGCCAAGGGCATCTGGGAGCTACAGTAATGCAAATAGTAGTAATAATAAAAGTACAGTAATATATACCTGTTATCGGTAATGTTTATCTTAGAATAGCAACATGAGGTGAAAGAGAATTCACTTCAGAGATCAAATGCCTAGTATTTTGGTGCTTTGCCTTGCAGCAATGTTTTACTTTAAAGTGTCATGTTTCTACAAGAAATGTTTATGGAGAATGCTTTTAAAACAAACTCCAGTTAGCTGAGCTACCATCTCATAGCCATCAGACAGAAAAGGCAGCAGATACAATTTATTTAAATTAATAATATACCTTTTCTTGAACTGAAGATGAGAGAGCTTGCTTTGTATGGAAAAGAACTTATTTCCGAGTCTGAGGCAGAAAATGGTAACTGAGACTCCCAGTGCAAGTCTCACAGTGAAAGGGTCACGTTTGCAAGATGGAAAAGTGTTTAAGTTACCATAAATAATTGAAGTACTTGAACTTGCTGCAAGGTAGCTATTTTCCTATGCAGTCTACAAGTAAACACTCATAAATACTAAACTTCTCATCAGCCCTGCAGTTCTTAAACAGAAGGCACTGATCTGTCTCTTAAGCTGTGGTGTTTCTTTAATAACTACTAGACATCTACAAGAGCAGCACAAGTTCTGACTAGCTACCCATTCAAAGCAATCACTTATGCTAATATGACATTGTAAGAAAGAAATTGGACCTGCCCAAGAATCCTTTCCTTCATTTTTAAATGATAATCCTAGTGATTAAGATCAGTTCACTAGACTTGTAGCTGCACCTGGAGGAAAGGAATTCAGTCACATGTGTAAGTAAATTCTCTAGAGATCACTACTGGGAAATGAAAGGAATCGCGGCTTTGAAAGGATGTGAGTGAGTGTAGATTGGGGACTTTGCTACTGATTAAATGTGAACAAGAAATCAGCAGAACTCAGTGTGAGTGTCTAAGCCATAAAATTATTGGAAGGTAGGTTTTGAAACAAAAAAGAAAACTGTCATCTAACTCCTTCCTAAATGTAGTAGCTGAAAAATTAACTAATCAATGACAAAGTGTTGGGTCCTAATTAAACATAAATATTCTCTTCAGGCTTTCCATCTAAACCATTTATGTGGTAGCATTCATCAAAACTTTTGCTTGTTTATTTGTTTTTTTAATTCCTACTTTTCTCCATTAAAAACATGTCTCTATTATAGATAAAGTTCAGAGGAAGGATTTATCTGCTACTGAATTTTCAGCTTTTGTGGAATTTTTTTCAGGTTTGTGAACAAGCTGATAATTAGAATTTCCTCAATAATTGCAGTTAGAAAGACTGCTTTTCTTTTGATATTCTTGCTTCTTAGAATAGCAAAAATTCACGTGGGCTGAGTACACAATAAAACATGTAAATATTAACTAAATCCTTTTGAGTACAGTGTACATGTTGAAGCTCTATTGTCTTCAAAGTGTTTTTACTCTGTGGCAGGATCTTGAAAGAAACTTGACACTATCTAATTTTTATGGGTGTGGAGTTGTAGCGAAAGAATGATACTTCCCATGGGAAAGAGAATCAAAGTAGGTTTTTGTTTGTTTGTGTGTGCCTAAGTTATGGCATTTAGGTTTTTCTTATAGGTTGGCTGCAAACCTACAGTTTGTCTGTTACCTGAAACTGTCAGGCAACAAAGTAAATAAAACTACTTTCATCTGTTATCATTACTGATTCTTTTGATTCCAGGAATATTCAAGACCGATCTTTCCTTAAAGTTTACAACAAAGATCCTGCACATGCATTCAATCACGCTTCCAGAGCTGTAAATGGAGATATAAGGGTAAGTACTAGTGCTGCATTTATGCTCCTGTTTCCTCCAGCTTTTATGTTAAATGTTTAAATTCTTAACTGTAATATGTACACAACAATTCATAAAATCAAGGGTATATGTATGACACATATACATAAGAGGGAATTGATAATGCTTACTGTGATGTTTCCTAACTGCTTTGCTTTTTTCCAGTTACTTGCCTTGAGCATTAAATAGGGTTTTTTTTGTTCTTGTTTACAAGCTTTAAAGCATGTGAATCAAAACATAGCCTTTATTTCCTTATTTTGGGACACAGGCAGTGCTCAGAGTTTGTACAACTTCTTATTTCATGTTTCCAAACCCTTTACAGTGAAGTAGGGCATGGTGTTAGTTTGGTCCAGCAAGGCTTCAGCGTGGACTGGTTTGCAGTGGCTGAGCAGATGTACCTAGTTTGAAGTCTATTGAAACACTTTGTAAATTACCATTTCAAATGGGAAATTCTGATCAGTACCTGTTGTGGTGTAAATGGTTTTAGTTTTTTCTAAAATTTTCTACCTGTACTGAACAAGGACTAGTATATTTCCATTTTCAAGTGAACAATTTGTGTTGGGAAACTATAGATAAGGCATTTGAAATGTATTCAATTTCTCTCTGTCACTGTCTCTATCTTTTGCTGGACTATTATCTCCCACCTTGATGCTGAGAGGGCAGGAGATGCAGCTGTGCGGCACCTCTTCCACCATGTTACGCACAGCTAATGTTGCAGCAGGGGGTGGTGGTGGTGAGATTATACAACCTCATCTCCTCCCCACCCATCCTAGGTCTGTCCCCAGGAAACAGTACAACCAAATGAGCTTGATGGGGCCAGAAGGGAATGCCACGACTGTCCTACCTGCTTTGTGGCTTTTATGTGTGCTCCAAAGCTGATTCAACTGAGTGGAAAATTCCCTGTGAAGTGATTTACTTAGTTGTACATTTACTTCTTGGTTTCATTATGAATTCTGAGCATGTCTCACTGCTTTATTATTAATATTTCGTGTAAGTACTTCTGCTGTTTCAACAGTTTAGGGCTTCATTATTTTAGAAAGATTGCAATAGTTTATTTACATGCACTATTCTCAAGCACCTCTCATTTATGTACTTCAGTTTTAAAATGGTCCTTTTGATAGGTCAGAAATCTAATTACTTGGTTATTCACACTGCTGCACACACAACATGAGAGAGCAAGTACATGTGCTTCAAAGGGCTGATGTGATAGGTTTTAGTGTCTTCTTCAAGGTCCTGAAATTCTTCAATTCTACTTATATTCCTGTAACAGTAACGATGTATCTGATACCTCTCATTCATATTTGAAGGTATGACATACTATCATTGTGCATTATGACATTATACTCATGTAACAATTTCACTGGGGCTTTATAAAGTTATGCTATACTGTTCTTGTTCCGTGTGCAGTGAATTCTGAATGTATCTACCGTGGCTTTATTTGTGTGCTCTAGACCTGTTTTCTGTGGTTAACTACTGTGTTAGCTACGTATATTCAAAAGTAAGGACGACTTCTTTGGCCGTCTTCCAGGCATTTACTGCCCAACAGTTTTGAACATAGGTGTTGCGTCTGTGCAAAAACTGTGTAATTTGAAATGCTTATTTTAAAATACTGTGTTGTACAACAGATAGGCACACGACATCTCCTGATTATGACTGAGTTATCTCTCTTTGGCCATAACTCAAAAATAATGGTGACATGGTGATGACCTTTGCAGAAGTGGTAATTTCATGGTAGAATATTGTATTTTGCTCTGCTGAAATGCCAAAGATGCCATTTGAGATTCTGTGCATCCAACAAAACAGCTATTTCCTCATTTGGCTTTTCCTTTGCATTGACAAATTTCTTATCTTTCTGGTCTGAGAGGTGAAGTCAGAGCCAGGATGTTCATAGGGTCTTTGTGGAGAAACATGCAAAAAGTCTTCCCTTTGATCTATGTGAACTTCTGCACTTCAAAGTTACGAGCATGGAAACAAGCGATTTCTTGAGCTCCAGAAATAATCAAACCTGTTTGTCTAAGGACGTGTGTTTTCTGCTTGGATTCTTCCTTGTGCAGCAACACTTAGATCGTAACTGGAGCTTTTCCCAAAGTAGAGGGTTGTTGTAACACTTTCTCTGATGCTCACCCTCCGGAGTCTAAAAAGCTGAGGGACACACTGCAACTTTTCCTTTATTTGGCAGAAGTACTGCAGGATCTTCTTGCAAATCCCTAATTTGGCAAAATTTGTAGGGTCATAATAGTCTGACAGTTTCTGGTTGAAATTTGCCTGCAGATTCACAGGTTATTAGGTCAGGAGAGACAACCACCAATAAGCAGGTGGATTATCTATCCCTCTTTCATTAGCAAACCAGATTAAAGAGGATGGAAATTCAGGGAGGCTATGTGAGAGACATGTACATTTTCTTTACTGGTATTGCATAGTGCCCAAAAGATCGTGGAAAAAACTTTGCTTCTCATCCCTCCTTTTGTGTTTGTGCATCTTTGCATTGGGTAAATTGATGTGCTTCAATTTCATGAGATATGAGTGCTAAATTCACTACACTGGGAAGCAGGGAGTGACTCTTGTGACCGCTGTGCTCTGCATCACAGAATCATAGAATGGTAAGGATTGGAAAGGACCTTAAAGATCACTGAGTTCCAACCCCCCTGCCATGGGCAGGGACACCTCCCACTAGCCCAGGTTGCTCAGAGCCTCATCCAGCCTGGCCTTGAACGCCTCCAGGGATGGGGCATCCACAGCTTCTCTGGGCAACCTGGGCCACTGCCTCACCACCCTCACAGTGAAAAAATTCTTCCTAATATCTAGTCTAAATCTGCCCTCTTTCAGTTGATAACCGTTACTCCTTGTCCTCTCACTGCACTCCCTGATAAAGAGTGTTTCCCCATCTCTCCTGTAGCCCCCTTCAGGTACTGGAAAGCTGCTATTAAGTCTCCTCAGAGCCTTCTTTTCTCCAGGCTGAACAACCCCAACTCTCTCAGCCTCATGGTTAACTGTTTCAAAAAACATACAGAAAAGCAGCTTATTATCAGACCAGTTGAAAGAACAGTATTTAGAATATCATGAATTAGCTGTTGTAAGTACATTTTTCCATGGTGATACTGTGAGTGTGGTTGTATCTCCTGCCATATGTGAGTTAAAGCTCTGTTTTTTTGAGGTTTGGGAAAGTTTTGCCTTTACAGATTTTTCTACTGTTTGCCTTCTTGTCCCTTTGGAACTTTTATCCCTGGGTTTGATGATGTTCAGGCTTCTATTCATGTGATTTATAATCATTTCCATGTAACAGACCGAAAATAATCTCAGAAAATAATGTTAGCTGCCAGCTTGGACACCTGTTTTAACTACCAAACAGATGTGAGACCTGTATAAGAATTGGCAGTAACACTTGAAGTATTAAGTATTATCCATATGGACAAGGAGACTCAGAATGTGCGAGAGGAATGTGGGATCTGTGAGTTTCAGATCTCCTATCAAACTGCTCGGCTTTCATGTCCATTAATTCTAATTTTCCTGGTCTTCTGTCTGTTTCATGCGTTTTTCTGAATGGGTTGTGTTTGAGAAAAGGCATTTATCTTGGGGTCTAAGCAAGCTCTAAAGGATAGTTCCTCTTGAAATCCTTCAGAGTGCCTTACTTGCTTACTGATACTGTGCCCTGGCCATTTACTTCTCAAGGAGCATGGTTTGACAGGTCTGCAATGTTGGATGCTGTTCAAGCAAGAAGTAGCCACATAGTGCCATCTCACTGAATATTTGTGTTTGTGCTCATCTTTTCTTTATTATTCCTTTCCCATAACATACACTGAAAATCTGTAGCAGCTGTTTTCTTTGGAAAAATGTATCTTGACCATTGCTGCATTTTGTTCATTTATTCCTTCGCCTGAGCTTGTAATGTTTATCAGCACTTTCTAGCTCTCTGTGCAACAGTACTTTCTTTTGACAAAATACCATCTCGTGTCCAAATGTTGAGATTATTTTTTTATTCTCTCTGGCATTGTTTTGAATTCTAGTGCAAATGCATGTAGACAGCCATGCTGGTCTGTGCCATTAGAATTAACGTTTGTGATTTGCATAGATTTTAAGGGGAAAAGGCTTTCTCGGATTTACTAGGTGTAGGGTCTAGGTTGCCTCTTTTCTCACATTCAGCGGTGGTGCATAGATTGAATGTCAACAGATGACACTAAAGAACTGATGGCTGATTTTCATACATTGCTGAATAAATTAAATCTATTTGGAAGTGTCAAACAGCTTTTTTTTATCCTGGGCTGTTGCTGTGAGCCGCTGGTGACTCCAAGTGGAAGCGATTCCCCTACTGAATGTGCACAGCCTGTATTCTGTCCTCATTCCCTATACCCTCCTTCTATGGAGTCGCTAAAAGGGGAGGAATCTTAAATTATAATTTCCCCCTTCTGTCATTGCAACTTCTCGGCACTCCTGGTGGCACAGTTGGATACTAATAATGTTGGTTTATGCAGTGGTTTGTTTTGGGCTTCATCTGTCTGCCAATTTTAAGAATCAGGAGGGAATTTTTACTTCATAACAAACCGGTGGCTGTTTTGCTTGGCAATCTTTCTCTTCCCAACCACCTGCCCTAAAGTCTGTGGCTTACACTTTGTTTTAAAATGTCCTAGATTCGTTATGGTTTTGCTTAATTCCCTGACTCCATAAGACCCTAGCAGGTCAGTGCTTTATCCCAGACCTCTGCTGGGTGGGTGAGGCCAGAATATCCAAAGAATGCTTGTTGTGGTTGCCGTATCAAGGTACGCTTTGAGGTGTTTGGGGCTTTTTTTAGAGATTCTTTCTCCAAGAAAGAGTAATTAGGGCAAGATGAGTCAGAGCTGAGTTGGGGGAGCGCATTTTCTGGGAGTTAGGATGGCAAAAAGGTGATGATGTTCCTAGCAGCGGTGGGGGTTTGGGCTGCCAAGATGGGAGGGGATGAGTTAAAATGAGTTGCAGAGTAAAATGAGACAGACATTTGATAAGTTGGG